GTGACAGATGGTGTATAATTGCAAAATAAAGAAACAATTGCCCGATTTTTATAATATTAGAGTTTCGATTATATATTACTTCAAAACACGAAAAGTAAATTCCAGATTCGAATTGTAGAAATAATAAATTCATAAGAAAATGTTTTCAATTCAGGAATTTTTTTACATAAAATGATATTTTTCTGTATTTTTTTTCTCTCCATGAATATAAAAAATGAATTATTGAAGATTTTTTAGTTTTCTGTTAACTCAACAGTTCAACAATATTTGTATCTTGAGAAGCCAATTTTATTTATGTTAAACATGTAAATTTACCTTGAATATATATTTGTTAATTTGTTTCAAATGAAAATCAATAAAATCCCTGTGGAGAGAAAAATATGGAGAGAAAAAAAATTAAATTACCCTCGCAAAACCACACTGGAATTCACCTTCAATAAAAACCACAACTGGTGTCGGGCCTAATAACCTTGATTTCCTTATCTTTCTATGCTCATTTCTAACCCCCTATATATTTTCTACCAAAATCGTTCGGCACATGTCATTCATTTGTAATCTCGAACATTCAGTTTTAGTCTTGTTGGATTCTGTGGGAATTTATTTTCTATCATTACCATAACACAAACCTATCTTTAAGAAAAAGACAGTATTTAGAAAGAACGACAATAGAGAGCCAGAAGGAGAGACCTAGAGAACACCTGCAGAAGAACAGCCATTGACTGAAGTTGGTGCCGTGCAAAGATAAAATATAAAGAACTGAACTAAGAGAGAGAAAGAGGGTAAGGGAGAGAGAGGGAGAGAGAGAGAGAAAGAAAGAGAGAATAATTTATACAGGTTTCAAAGAGAAACAGTTTACGAGGGGGGATTGTGACCTACGTTTTAGAATTTGTAAAACGTTATTGACTGTTTGAACCCCTTTGAGAGTACAAACGAACATAACGGAAGAAAAAATAACAATGCACGACTTGTGATTACATAGGAAGTGGGTCTCTCTATATCAGAAATTCAAAAAGCAGAGTTCACTCTTTATGAACAGGGTGAATTGACTGAAAGGGAGTCCGTAGTTCAACGGGTAGCATAAGGGACTTTTAGATTTGCACAACGACAACGTGGATTGCTACGATCGACATCCTTTTAATCCACTGCCTTGAATGGACGTCAGTCCACGCAAATCTAAAAGTCCCTATCGTCTGACATTCTCGGGCTGATAGTGATGGCATAATTATTACTATTATTATACTTCAGAAAACAAATGCGCATTTATGAAATTCCAGACATGTGTGAGAATGTATCTATTTATCAAAACAGATTATGTTGTTATGTCATGCATGTGTTGGCATATTATGATATGCAAAGTATGATTTATTTCGAAATGTACTTGGTGAATCATGGGCATTGCATTACGAAAAGCTTTCGTTAAAATTATACCCCACCACTATAACACTTGGATCAATGTAAATCAGGTGGGGTATCTCGACCCCACTTTCGTTTCTCTCGTTAAAACTTTGAAAGAGCCACTAATTCCTCACCACTATAACACAGGCACCAATGTAAATCAGGTGGGGTATTCCGTGAGAGAATTCTAAAATATATATATATTGATTGCAACAGTCGCGCGCCACTCCGACTGACCGCAAGCGCCACAAGTCACGTCCTACACTCGTATAAGCTCATTTAGTAATCGAGGATGTAAAAACAGTAAAAATGATTGTGCTAACTATTGTTCGGTACAGCTCTGTTACCATTAAATTAATGACAGGAGTAGGCGAACTAATAAAAAAAAATAACACGTCGTTCATAAAGTACAAGTTCTGAATATTTATTATATGAATATTCCGGATCGTACCGTGCAGCAAGAAAAGATCGACGGTCGAGAATCGTGAGGAGAAAATGTGCAGATGCGAATTGTAAGAGAGATAAAGTGTCGTAGTCGAAAGGCTTAAGCAATTGACATGTAATTCAAAGGTCGTGGTTCGACCCCCGATACGGCACTAATGTCCCTTGGTAAGGCATTAATCTTAATTTGCCACACTCGACCCAGGTGAGGTAAATGGGTACCTGGCAGGAATTAATTCCTTGTAATGCTAGAGCGCTGTAAAGGCAGCTAGGCTAAAGCCGGGGTAATAATTAATGCGCCTCGGAATAGAATTTCTAGATAGACGGCGCTATAGAAATGCCTATAATTATTGTTATTAATTATGGGGTTGAGTAAGAACCGTGAGGCATTCTCACCATGATACCAACATGCTAAACTGCATATTACGACCCAGTCAAGTACACCAAGGTCGGTGATAAGAATAACGAGTAGAAGGACCTTTTTTAATTATAATTCATTTATGTATTACTAAGCCCAATCAGCAAATAAATACTGGTTTTCGTTGGGGCCCTTCAAAACACAAACAATATACATTTCAACAAATCAAAACATAAATATATATAGAAAATTACAAAATATGACTTTCACACAAAAAAAGGGCAAACCAGGTTATAAATAAAAGGATTTGAACATAGAGAATAACGAAATGAGTAATATGTATATGATACAAATATGTAAATGCCATATATCCCAATTGAAGCAAACAGTAACAAAATAAACAACAACAGCAAACAAACAAGAGAAAACAAGAGGAAGATATAATAAAATATATACAAAGAGGAGAGAAAGAAGAGCTATATTATACCATAATCATATTACAACGAGGATGTCTTAAGCCAATTTCCATTTCTCGTTGAAATGGTTTCATATTTTCTATAATTCGAATGCGTTCGGGTAATTTATTCCAGTTTGGTGGACCTGTGACTAGAAATGTCTTCTGGTAAAAAGTCGTACAATCATGTGGCATCCTAATTAACATCTTATTTGTGCTCCTTGTTGTTCGAGATGATACTGCTTCGATATAAATAAACTTATCACCGAGAATTGCAGGTGCAGCTATATGTAAACATATGTGAACCATACAACAAGATGCTCTAAAAAACAGATGATCTTTTTTTCGGCCAGGATAGTATTTCAAAAATTTGTTCAGATGGGGTTTCCCAGGAAAAACGAGATATCATATACGCTGCCCTCTTATGTAATCTTTCCAGTTTACTATGATTTGCTTCAGATCTCCCCGACCCGTTAACGGTACAGCAGTACATTAAATGGGGCACTACAAAAGCCCAGTGCAGTTTGTTCAATTGTGCTTTATCAAAATAATGTTTACATCGATGAATAGTTCCTAATTTCTTTTTCACAATTCAATACTTTCGATATGTTTTTTAAAGTCAAGACTGTTATCAATTATAACTCCCAAACATTTATATTTATATATACATTCCAATTGGCATCCATTTAAATCAATGGACAGCATACTGTTATCTAATGATCTAAGCCTTTGCTTTAATCCTAGTAGCACCGTTTTGGTCTCATCACTATTCTAAGTCAACTTATTTTTATTCAGCGTTACTCCTAACAAAAGGACTTATGGTCATATGTTTATAAGTCTGCGAAATCAAAGAGAAGAGGAATAAAGTTGTATAATAGTGAGAGAGAGAGAGAGAGAGAGAGAGAATGTTGAAACACTACATTCAATAGTAGATTTGTTACACTACGCGGCCGATCATCTAATAACAGAGTCAATATGGTCTTTTAGATTTGCACGTCGACATAGTAGACTGATACGTGTGATATCCTTTTAAGGCAATGTGACGTCCTTTTAAGGCACTGCATTGTCATTATTAACCAGGTCTTTCATGAGATATATGAAGCGAACATTAGCCGTTCAGAAAGAAAGGGTGGAAACATTCTTACGAAATCAATAGGTGCTCTGCTACCATGAACATGACAGACAATGAAAGCGGACAAAATATACAGTTCCTCCAAAGGAACATCCCTTCACTGCTATTATGTAAAAATGTGTAGAACAGGTGAATATGCATGTGGCACCTGTTCTACACATTTTTACATAATAGCAGTGAAGGGATGTCCCTTTGTCTACCTGAGGAACTGTATATTTTGTCCGCTTTCATTGTCTGTCATGTTCATAGTATACGCTATACGCGGCAGATCACCTAATAAAGATAATAACAACAATGAAAGAAAGAAATAAAACTAACAGCAACCCGCCACTGCTACCTGCATGGCGCTGACACCGTGTGTGATTAATTCGTGGCGTATTTTCCATTCAGACTGACATGGTTGTATTCATGTAGGCTTCTGAAGTGAACTGTTATTATTACTGAAACGGATTCTTCATCATCATTGTAAACATATCGATTGACTTTGAAACCCAGATGCCAGATGTTCTGATGCAGTTTGCATGATTTTATTCAGGTTATCTTCGAGCTTCAGTTTATTGCATGTCATCAATACTCTCACATTTCTGATTTCATTTGATTATTTTAAAGACCATCTTTAATTATTGTTACCACTCCGTGATGATTATGCGTGATATGTCGTGGGGACGTTTGGTGAACTGTTAATGGATATATCAGGTTTGATTCGATTTATAATAGATTGGCAGACTTAATTGTAAGTGTACTGTAATCACGTTACTTTATAGAGAAGAGATCCAATGGTAATGATGACAATGACAATATAGAGCATTATAGTCAATATAGTGCGCCAACTCCGCATGACTAATATGCTCAAGACGCAATGGAAATGATAGAGAAGAAAAGAAAACGATCATACAAAAAAGAAACCAAATTACAACATCAAACTAGATCCATCGAAAAAAATCTTTTTAGAAGAAGAAGAAAACACAAAATTGGGGGGGGGGGGGGGGGTTATAGCATTCTACACCAGGAATTCTACGCCAATGTCGCGAACAACGTTATGGGAATTGATTCGACTGGTAAGGTAGATTTAAAGTAAACCCCTAAAATCTTCTGATAATTTTTTGTCCAAAATAATCCGGGCATTGCCCCTGACTTTTCATATCATGTAAAATGATCACAAAAGCAAATGAAGTGCACAAAGCAAATGAAATGATGAATAGAAAATGATGATTACTTACCGGATCGTAATGGCCGTTCGTTTAAAACCTCTTCATAACGAGCTTGGTCAAAGAAGATTTGACCAGTAAAGAGAGGAATTATCACAAGTAATGCAATCAAGGCACAGGTAAGAGCAATATATGAAAAATTGTCCCTTTTCATCCTTCTCCGACGTTTTAAGAATGCCCGCCATCTATTTATATGCCCAGAGTTCGACGAAGAAGAGAAGGCATTCGTTCTATTCATAACCATGGCGACTAGCAGGGATGATAGAACGATGGGCGTGAAGATTTGTTAGCAGGTGTGAGGGGAAACATCTGTTGGGTTGCCAGAGCGATGATCATACTATGCGTACGGAAATGCTGCCTCCCTTCGCCCCTTGGATATGGACAGCACTGTCTGCTGATGTTCTCTGCACATCCAGGTTCTAGCTCAAACAATCAACAAGTGATTATATTCCGTTTTTGCCCACTTCGATACGACTCATAATGGTAATAACGTCCTTGCAGTATCATCTACCAGCTTATCATGTAGACAACGATGAGGCAGCGGCGGTGCGTTAAATTGGCGCCTCTACACAATTTCCGATCGTTCGCAAGGAAGATAGCCTGTGGACTGTCCGTCGACCGTAATGTCTGTTCGTGTGTGTGTGAAAAGTGAAACGCGTGTATGCGTTTAACACAGAAGCATGAGTAGTCTTCCTTTCACGAAGCTGCGGGAACAAAAACAGATTTATTCATACAAATCGCGATTTGCAGACAAAAGCTGAATTGTTCACAATTTGCAAACACATTCAAAAATACAGAACACATACATACACGTATAAATGTGCAAAGGGTTGTTTTTTATCTTGTAAACTGAATGTAATTCAGCCTACGGGCTGCCAGGTTCAGTTTTACAAGAAACCATCAACCGTAGAACACAATATAGCAAATAGTAAACTTGTACAAACACCACAGTCAATAAATATTAATCAGGGTACATCGATTATTGTGGGTTAAATAATCAGCAACAAAAATGGAAACAAACGTCGTAATTCAAAAAACATAATTCCATGGAGAGAAGTAATTACATTTAGATCAGTCATATATCAGAAATTTACCTATAGATAATTTAAAATTAGAAATATTTAGAACAAATTTTTTTCAAGGGAATATAATTCTAATCAAAGGTATAAGTTTCAAAATGTGTGAAAATATTGCAAAATTATAAACCGTTAAAGTGCTCCTTACAATAATTATTTTATGAATTACAATTTTTTTGCAGAAATACATGATAGTATTATAGCTTTAAAAAAACTCTAAATAATTGACAATTTTGGCGAGATAAACGCATAAAACCAAGGATATTTGGATATTGCTGTAAGACATTTTCCAACTAAGTATATTCATTGCATGACATTTATGTGATATCATCAATCAAACCAACACTAAATAACTAAATACGAGAGATTGGATCACTGAATCATCTTCACAGCCAGTCTTCCCTTCTTTCTTTCTTTTCAATTTTACTTAAACGTGCATTCGATAGTCTGATGAGGTAGGAAAGCATTTCTTGTGTAGCGCTCCATGTTGCAGGACTTCGGATTGGATTTGGCCATCATTTTCGCAAGGGTTGAAAATGTAAAGTTAATCGCAAGGGAGAAAGCCAGCAGTGGTAACCAGGGGCGTCGCCAAAGGGGGGGGTGTGGGGGTGCGACACCCCTCCACCTGTCAGGATATTGTCGGTAAAATTGCGCTGCCGTCGGGAAAGAAGAGAAAAGGGGGAGGGAAAAAAGAGAGGGAAAGGGAAAGAAAAGAAAAAAGAAAAGGAAAAGAAAAGAAAGAAAGGAAAAGAAAGGAAAGAAAAGAGAAAGGAAAGAAAGAGAAAAAGAAAAAAGAGGGAGAAGAGGAAAGAAAGGAAAAGAAAAAAAAGGGGAAAAAAAAGAGAGAAAAGGGAAACAAATGAAACGGGGGTGAATAGAGGAGAGAGGAGGAGGTAAGAGCCTGAGAAAGGGGAGAGGGAGTAAAAGAAAGGGGGGTGTGGGTGGAGTCGTCTCGTCAAGGAAGCAAGAAAGACATGGGTAAATATGTTGCTGTGTCGGGTCAGCTGTGTCGGTATTCTTGCTCGATCCTCGTGTACTATATCAATGCAGAAGTTTGAAGTCGGTGAGATGTATATTGTCGGTCGGCTGACAAGTTTTTTTCCCTACGAACTGTGACTTCGTATCCGCTGTGACGACTTCGAGAGTGACTACAACTACAATACTTGTATTTTCTCGAAGTTTCACTTTCCTATAATATCAGCTAAAGAGGTAAGAGGGTAAGGGTAAGAGGACACTTTTTTTTTTTTGTCTCAAAATTTCAAAAATTGACATTTTGCTCCGTTGGGGGGGGGGGGTAAGGTCACCTTTCTTAGGTCAGCCATGGGGGTGATTTTTTTTTGATTTTTTATTTTTTTAAATAATTAAAAAAAAAAAAAAAAAAAAAAACCAAAGGGGGGGGGGGGGGGGGTTTTGGGATTTTTTTAGGGGGGTTTACACACATAAGAATACCAAAGGGGGGGGGGTTTAACCCCCCAAACACCCCCCCCCCTGCGTACGCGCCTGCTTGTAGCTACTTGCTCCCTCTTTATAGTAAACTTTCCCAATCGGTGCCTGTTGGTCCCCCATGATTCTCTTTTTCTTATGTTAAATGAGAGCTGAGTTAATGAGATAGCCACCTGTCACAGTGACCTCGATGGCTCGCTGTATGGTCTAATCCTTTCTTGCCCAGTAGTGGTGACGGTCTTTAAGGAAACGTCAAAGCTTCCGCGCTTCGCGCTAAAGGGGGAAACTGAATTCAGACAATTAGGGCTTATTAAGAGTCGAAAACGGTATAACGAATCGTGTTCTTTCTCTAATAAATTAATGAAACGTCAAAACTTCCGCGCTTTGCGCGAGAGGTGGAAATTTCATTCAGAAAAGGATTAAGACTCGAGCACGGTTCAACGAATCGTCTACTTTCTCTAATAATTTAATGAAACGCCATAACTTAGGGGGGAAACTAAATACAGATGCCGGAGGCCTAACACCGACACCCCCTCCCTAAAAAGCGCGCTTTGCGCGCTCTTTAAGTGATTCGCTTGCTCACTACTGCCCCTCCCTAAAATAAGATCCTAGCTCCGCACCTGCATTAAAATATATAGCTTTGATGTTGACTAAGTTGACGAAATAATTAGTATGTTTATGTCGTCGAGGAAAATAATCATTTGCGCATACGCAATTACTATAGATAGTCCAGAAGAAAAACAATTTAGCCTTCGGCCCCGGGTTTATAGGGTTAAATTTGTATTTTGTAGATATTGGGACATTTAATTTTGTCGGTAATTGGTAGCTAGTTTTGTCGGTAATCGTTGGCCTACACACCCCCCCCCCCCCCCCCCACTGAAAAAGGTCTAGCGACGCCCCTGGTGGTAACTGAACCACAACATCAAAGCCACAACTTCAAGATTCACCCAACCATTTTGCCGAGTTAACTGCTACATGTGCAGCATGTTTCCCAGAGCAGTCCGTGTCTGGAACACTCTCCCAAGCAACGCTGTCACTGCAAATACAATTCTTGGCTTTAGGGGAGCGGCACTACCCGCCATACAGACTATGGCGCCGCCCCTGCTCCTGAAGATGTTGTAACGAGGGACACACCTGCACCACCTGCACCCTGCACATATCGTGCAGATTGTTAAACGCTCAAGTACTGAATTATCGGCTCGGTGTAAAAATGTCAGAGGAAAAAATGTCAGAGGTAAAAATGTCAGAGGTAAAATGTCAGAGGTAAAAATGTCAGAGGTAAAAATGTCAGAGGAAAAAATGTCAGAGGTAAAAATGTCAGAGGTAAAAATGTCAGAGGTAAAAATGTCAGAGGTAAAAATGTCAGAGGAAAAAATGTCAGAGGTAAAAATGTCAGAGGAAAAAATGTCAGAGGTAAAAATGTCAGAGGAAAAAATGTCAGAGGTAAAAATGTCAGAGGTAAAAATGTCAGAGGTAAAAATGTCAGAGGTATAAATGTTAGAGGTATACAATAAAAACAAAAGCATGTGACAAGCTTGTTATACTTACACCCGGGTTATATATTTAATTAGGCTTATCGAAAAAGAACAGCGAGGGATATTCTGCAGTCGTTATTTCACCGCTGCTTTATTTTCCACTTTCCCAGTTTAAATTAATTTACCTTTCGGCCCAAAATTGTGACTTTTTGCCCGATTATTGCCGAAGGAAGACGGGGGGGGGGGGAGGAGGGTATTCTTCTTCTGGGGCACGATGACCCGGCTGCTCTCCCCTTCCTCTTAAATATATGCTTTGCAATATATCCTTCCGAACAGTGGTCAATGCCTAGGCAGAGCAGGCAGACTATAATGGGACATGGTTTCTACTCCGAGTTTCGCGCCTTGCAAGCAGTCATCAGGCAACTGATGGCATTCTTAAAAGTACATGATTATCCTACAACCTTGGTACAAATACCCCTAAAATAAGAATTAACTAATAAAAATACAATTGTAATTACTCATGAGTATTCTTATTGCATTGTATTCAGGTATTGTAGTCTTATTTTTCATTTCATTTCATTTATTTTCATATTTCTCATAAACATACAATGTTTATGAGAAATATGAAAATAAATTTTGTACTTCATTTGAAATAAATGTCATTTATTTCAAATGAAGTACAAAATTGTTTTTATTTTAATAACAAATAATAATAACAAAGATAAGTGGTCAATATGAATTTGTGATTTAACTAAGAGAAATATGATGGGACCTACATGAAAGCAAGCTTGTAAGGCTGTAGGCCCCAGTAAAGTAATTGTGGTAATAAATGGAGGACGGATATACATGTATTGTATAGCTCTTATTTTGAGCGTATTTGTACCAAGGTTGTAGAGGAATCATGTACTTTGACGAATGCTATCAATTGTCTGATGATCGCTTGCAAGGCATGAAACTCGAAGTAGCAACCATGCATGTCCCATTAGTCTGCCTTATTAAATATTTATTTACCGGTATATTATGCTTTTGTATAAGCAAATGGTACTGGTACACTGAGCAAACTTCTGGGGGGAAAGATTTCTAAAATCGAGAAGTTTGGCCATGTTTTATAGGCTGAGTTGTCGCTCCATGGTGTAATCATTAAATAAAAAGAAAAGTCAGTACAGCCCACAAAATAGGATCAGATATCTATGAACCTCCCCCCCCCCCCCCCCCACACTTCTCCTTCACTTTTGAAGTTTGTTGGACATTTCAACTGCGTGGCAATGACTACTATTATATGTAATTTCCAATAAATGCATATTTCCGACAATTCCACTTTCTTGTGGGCTTGGTATTTTGATACTCTGAAAGTAGGGTCCATGCTGAAACAAAGCAGAAAGCCATGTTATCAGTGCTAACCGCACCATCACATTCCCGAAGTGCGCACGTTGCAATAAAATATTGTCGATTACTATTGCGGTATAAAATAGTCTGGGAAAAATCAATAAGCAGCTTTGTTACTCCGATACAAAGCAGAAAGCCGCCCACTTTACATCAATTAAAGAGAAGGTTGAGTTCTGGGGAAAGGTGAACAATAATATGTGAGCGTTTGTTATCATTCTTATTATGCAAGTGTGGAAGAACATCAAAGAAAAAAGTTATTCCTTGAAAATCTATTTCAAATGACTTCATATCCCAGATATGACAAGTAACAGCTTTAAAATGAGGCCCGATTTGTATGCCATATGTTTGTGTAGTCCCATATCAATATCTTT